CGCGACGCGCTTCCCGATCCGATTCACGCTGTCGTCCTGCAACTGCCGGCCGAGCTTCTCGACTCCTTTGCAGCACTCCTTCACTTCGTGGAAAACCATGGGCTGCCGCTTGGTGCAGTAGTCGCAGGCGTACCCAGCCTGCGCGTCCCGCGCCATCTGCACGACCTTGGTTATCGCTCCGTCGTCGAGCTTCTTGTCGCGCGTTTTCCCGCAAGTGCAACGGACGTCCGCGATGGGGAAACGGACGCGTGCCGTTTAGACTCGCGTGATTCGTCGGCCCGCGAAGGCTTCCCGCCCGATTCCGACGCCCCGCCTTCGGCATGCCCAGAGCTGCCGCCCGCCCCGGACACGCGGCGATGGCGCGATCAATGAGCTTAGGCGATTTCGCCAGCTCACCAGCGCCAGCGGGGCACGCCAGCAACGCATCCCCTGGCTCGGGGTCGGCGGCAGAGACGGCAGCCTTTAATTGAGATAACCTCCAGGCAGCCCAAGCTCACCCCGAAACGCCCCAGGAGGCGTCCGGCAACGCCCCAGCTCACAACGTCCAAGACGGCCCGAATCGGCCCCGAAGAGGGCTCCAAAACGGCCCAAGAACCCCAAAACGGGCCAATACACCCCATGGACGGCCCAGGAGTATCATGGGGCGGCCCCAGCCCGGGGGGGGCCGAGGGGGAATCCGGACGGTTCATTCGGAGATTTCGGGGCCAAGGCCGCCCCTGATTGCTCCAAGATGCCCCCGATGGGGCCACAAGAGGCCCCCAGTGAGCCCCAAGAAAACACCAAAACACCGCGCAAGCTTGAAGGGAGACCCCCTAGAGGCCCGATAACTGACTCCAAGACGCCCCCGAGATGCTTTTTACGAGACCCCCTTCAGCTATCCCACTGGCTTCAGGCCCCGACCCCAAGCGCAGTGGCGGGAGGGCCCGGCAGCCATTCGATAATCATTCGTCCGGTATTTTGGCACATGCCAGCCGTCTGCGATGACCGCGGGTTCCCCCCGCTGACCCACGCGCGCACGGCAAAGGCTGACCTGTTCAACCGCGGAAGACACATCCCGCACGACACTGACACTGCCCCTCCTACTCCACCGATAACGCCCCCACGTGACCCCACGAATCACCCTTCAGACTCTGTGCAATACCACGCCAGGATGAGCCGAAGGCCACGAAAGAGCTCGCGTCTCGGGGGCCCGCGCAGGGCCCCCAGATCCAGGATGAAAACATGCGCCCCAAGAGTGCCAGAAGTGCCCCGAAATGCCACCCGAACCCCGAGTTACAGCCCGAAGACCACATATTCACTGATCCTTTTCCTGCTGTTTCACTTCTTCCTCTTCCGCCTCATCCTCCCCCTCCCCCCCTCTTCCTCCTGCTGCCCCCTCCCCCATCCTCCTCCTCCTCCTCCTCTTCCTCCTCCTCTTCCGCCCCCTCCACCTCGTCCTCATTTTCCTCCTCCTCCTCCTCCTCTCCCACTCCCGGCCATGTCCTTATCATCGAGTTCGCCCTCCCTCCCGCCCCCCCCCAGCTTGGTCTTCCCACCATTGAACGCGGCAGGCGTGGCGACAGTGGTGGTTCGATGCCATTGCAGGCCACCCGCGTGGGTATCAGTTGAACGCCTTGCACTCCAGGCCCGTTCCCTGCCGCGGCCCTCCTTCCACGGAACTCGGCACGCGCGGCGCCATTGCTGGATCAAATCCACACCAGTCCGCTAAAATGGGTATCATTTGCAGGCCTTGCGCTTTAGGGTACCTGTTTTTCCCGCCGCGCACGACGCGGCTACTGCCCGCGGATAGGGCCGACTTCGGCAAGTTCTGTTGGCGCGCGCCGATGCGCTGATACGCCTACCAACTGCTCGCCGCGAGCACGAAGCCCCTGCAAGCTGCGAGTGCGTCGCGCGCATGCTTCCTCTCCCGACGATGATGCCTTGCTACAGCCTCCGCAGACTACCATGGCTCCTTTCTCTTTCCGATGGCCCTCCACTCGGTCGCGGCTCAAATCGCCGATCTCTGCGAAAGCCACCCCGCCCCCTGGCGCGCAGCGCATGGGCGGCCCTGTCTATCCGGCTTTTCTTTCGCAGCCGTGCTCGCGCCCCTTTGCGCATCTCCGACAGGGCCTCTCCCCAGCTGCGTCGCGCTCGTTCTGCGCCTCCGAAATGCACCTCTTCTCGTCGAACAGCGCTAGGCGCTGCCAGTTCGAACAACGGACTGCACCCGCGCTGGCGTTGCGCGCTGCATTCCCGCGGCGCGCATTCTGTTTCGATGTGGCACGGCTGCGCTTCGCGCGTTGCATGGTGCGAGTCCTCCTCGGCCCCGCGTCGCCAGCCCCCGCGCCTTCCTGGTCGCCCCCGCGCCGAGTCCACCCGCCAGCCCCCGGCGCAGCTGCATCAGTTTTGCACGCATTGCATAAATTAACTTCCCCGCGTGCCACATCCGCCGCGCATGATTTGCAGAGCGATGACCTCTCCTCCATCAAGAACTCACAACTTCGCGGACGCCTCCACCAGCAGCCCCCGCCCGCGCTCGTCTCGCGGCATCACAGCGCCCCCCAGCCATCCCAGCCTGCGCCCCCCCCCCCCCCCCCCCCCCCGAGAACCTGCAGCGGGGTTTTCGCCCGCGCCATCCCGCCCTCGCGGAGCGGCTTCCCGTCGAGAATCCTGTGCATGCACGGGTTTTCTCGTCTTCGCATGCGCGCGATGGCCGCGCGGCTGGAAGTCCCACTGACGCCGCGTCCTCTCTAGAGGTCCGCCTTCCACCGCCGCGCCCGCGGACCGCCCCTGCGCGGCGCGCGCCGTCGCTGCAAACGACGGCGCGATCGTGGACTTCGCGGGCCTGGCGCCCGACGCTGGATGCCGCTAGCGCCCGCCCAAGAACCGCTGGCGCCATTGAGCTGGAACGATTGGATGCGACCCCGGCCCCTGGCCTGGGGGCTGCCTTTCTTTCGCGTGGACGTTCGACGCAAGTGCTCTCCACAAATGCAGCAACGCCCCCTCGTCTTCGTCTCCCGCGACGTCACCCTCGCGCAGAACGCAGCAGTGGATAGTGGCTGCGCGCCCCCGCAGAAGATGTTTTTTTCCCGCCCGACCCAAATGGTTTCGCAACGCGATGGGCACGCCCTTCGCCCGAGGTAGCCACGCCAGCAAACTTGCGCACTCCTTGTGGCGGTATCCAAATTACCGCGTTGTACCCTGCGCTGCGCGCGCGGGGCCGCCCCTTCCCCCACCCCCATGGTGCGGGCGATCTCTTGCTGCGCCCCATAGGAGCCGATCGCCTCGCCCCCTCGCCCGCGGCGCGGCCCTCGGCATCCCGACGTGGCTCTGAAAGTCCTGGTTTGCATAAGTTACAAACGCGTCGACAAATTCCCGCCCTCGAGATCGGACACCGTCCGGCGACGTCGCCGCGAATTTCCTCTCCTCTCGCTCATCTTTGCCCGCGTCGCACTGCGCCCCGATATTTCGACGTCGCCACTGCGTTTTCTCGACGGCGATCGTCTCCGCGCTGCGGTGCGCCGTCCACCTGGGATGCTGGCGCGCCCGTTGGCCGCCCGCGCTAGAGATTGCGCGCGCGTTCAGTCAGCGCCCCGCGGCGGAGATCATCGCGGGCGCCAAGAAGCGACAAGAAACCACGCGTCGTGGACTTCTTCGCGCTGGCAACCGGTCAACTCTGTCATCCCCTTCGCCGCCCCCTCGCCTCTGGCCTTCCAGGAGACGCGCTGCCCGTGATTCCACGTGGTTATTGTCGCGTTCTCCTTTGCATTATTGAGGCGCGGCGCGGGCAGAACTCTCCGCATAAAAACACGATGGCGCCCCTGAGTGGACTGTCCACGCCGTTCGCACCGACCTTCGTCGCACTCGCCGCTGGCATGCGCGATTGCAAGTGCGAGTCTTGCTCTGCCAGGAGGTTCGCGCTCACTATACTGCTCTCGTCGATGTTCAACCACTTCTAACTCTTCCTTGTTTTCCCCGATTCTGCGTCACCATTATCTTTCGTGCTTTTCCCCCTCCGTGCTTTTCACGCCCATCCCAAACGCACTGTGGATTGGGCTCCCGTCCAGCGCGGAGGCGCTCGTCGCTTACAGGGCCACCATCTCGAAGTCGATGCCGCGCGCCCAGCCCAGCGGTTACTCGAACAATTATTTGCGAATCTGCCCTGCCACGAAGCTCTGAGCCAGCTCAAGAATTCGGTCTCCGCCCGGCCGAAACCTGACCCGCGACGAACGCGACCTAGGGCCCTCGAACGCGTCGCGACAAACCAGGAACGCCCATGAGGCTGCCAAGACTGTCCACGAAGCCCCGACATGGCCGACCGATCGGTCCAAGACGTACAAGATCGCTTCCACGCAGCTCCACAAGTCTCCAAAACACCCCAGAAGGCCCCCGACGGCGCTCCCAACATGGCCCCACGAAACAAAACATGGCCGCGTCAAACTGGCTGCCATGAGTCTCCTGTCGCGCAGGTATGCGGCCAGCTCGCGACGATTGTGCCATCCTCTGGTAAGACTGCGACAGCCTTCTGGGACCCTCCTGGCATCCCGTCGAGCTTTGCACTGCCTTCTGAGGGTCCCCTGGGAGCTCTCGTTGCACCCGATAGTGGGGACACAAAGTGGCATAAACATAAAACCTCTGAGCTCCGCGCAGATTTCTGGGATCGGCGCTGGACAACCCCTCCATGGCGCGCGGAGCGCGCCAAGGGCGGTGCCAGAGGCGCCGCTGAGGGGCCCCAGCGCCGATCCGAGGAATTCGCGTGGACCTCCGAGTTCTTAGGTTTGTGACACCCTTTTGTTTCCCTAGATCGCAAAAGAAGTCTGGCGGATGCGGCGCAAGCCTCGCCACGCACACGCACCTCCTCCTCTTGGAGGAGGGGGGGGAGGAGGAGGAGGAGGAGGAGGAGGAGGAGGAGGAGGAGGAGGAGGAGGAGGAGGCATCCTGTCCGCACCACTGACTCACCACGCGGTGTGGGCACCGCACCGTTGCCTGGGAGGGCCATGGTTCCTGGCCGCGCCCCCGGCCTTCGTGCCAGAGAAGGTCTGGTCCTTGCCGCCCAGGAAGGTCAGCGACGGCGCTTCGGCGACCGTGCCCTCCGGTGGCAGCTCACGGGAGCCTCCCATACCCCACCAGCCTCGACCACGTCCCTACCCATCGGTCGGAAAAAGTCGGTAGAAGCATGAAGTAGGAAGGCGTTGGAAGTAGATTGGGTCTTCGCCCGCCGTCTGAAGAGGAGGGAAAAGGGGAAGCCACTCGATCATTGTAGTAGGAAGGCGCTTAAAGTAGAGTGAACAATGGGAATCCACACATACTTCCTTTCAACAACTGATGGGTATCTCTCTCTCTCTCTCTCTCTCTCTCTCAGGGCGACAAGCCGAAATGCGACGATAATCTTGAGGATGCGCCCTCAGAGACAGAGGGACCCCTTAAAGATCGGTATCGAGATGCCGATGGCAATCATAGCGAAAGAGATCAGTTCCAGGCTGGTATAAACTGTTCGCTCTTGCGAATCAGCGCTGCTCGACTCTAAACCGACGAAACTCGACGCTAGTCGACGCCGTCTCATCGATCACCAGACGATGATCGGCGCTAGTACACTCTGACCGATGATCCTCGGAACACGTGTTAACGCCAACGAACGAGGGCCAACGCGGGCTGCGTGCTAACGTGACGGAGCTGAGCGGGGCAACACACACAACAACAGAGAGACGGGATTGCGAGGGTAATTACACTAGTCTCCCATGAGTTGCCAAATCGGTTGTTCAAAAATGGGGTCCTGGGATTGGGGTCCTAAGGACGAGGTGCCTCAACCAATGTATAAATCCAACCTTGGATCCCTCCCTACCCTTAGTTAATACCCCATCTCTCTGGACCCCATCTTTGAACCACCGACTGCCGACCGTGACCTGCTCCAGGGGCTGCAAGGCAGCCTCGCGGGAGCCGTCGGCGCCGCGCCCGCGGCCGTCGGGAGCGACGCTGTCGGCGAACGCCTCGGACTCCAGCGGGTTCCAGGCCAGGCCCCCCTGCGCCTGCGGGGCCTGGACGTCCATGAGGTCCGACAGGTAGCGCACGATGCGCTCCGGACCGCTGTTCGAACTGAACACCTGAGAGTTATAAACGGACCTTGCGCAAAGAAGCCATCGCGACCTCACGCCGCGGATTACACGAGTCGCCAGCGTGGCACACCGCATGGAGAGGAGGGCGCTTACGAGCGACTTTGCGCGGGTGACTTACGCCCAATGTCCGCGCAGTTGGACCCGTTTTCTTGCGTCGCTCACCTTGAGCTGCAGCTCATGGTCTGTGAGCTCTATGTCGTTCATGTACTGCGTCCTTGCCGCCATCGCCTTCTCGTTCCACATCTCCTTCTCGTGGGCCGCTAGCTGCTGAGTCCCCTCGGTGGGCTGGTCGTCCGTGTGGCCTTCGAGCACATCGGCCATGCGAGCAAGTACCCTGAAGGCCACCTTCCCAGTCATCTTCAGCCGCTGGGCACCCTCGAGGCACTGGAGCAGGGGCTGGACGGAGCGTCCAGTCCAGGTCCGCTCGACGAAGACGTCCGGGTCATCTGGCCTCAGCGAAGACTACGACGACGACGACAACCACCACCACCACCACCACCACCTTGACGGCGGAGGGACGAGCCGTGCGTGGGAACGAGCTCGGAGATGGAAGAAAGGGGAAGGGATGGAGGAGGCAGGCAGGGCAAAAGAGCGGAGGCTCTCTAGCCACACCTCGGGGAACCCCGGGCCCCAGTCGTTCGGGTGATGATGGCATGCCCTATGTGAGCAAGCTCTCCCGGCACAGGAAAAAATAATTGCGAAACAATGCCCTTTTCGGGCACCCGAAACGGGTAGTTACGAAGAAAACGGGTACGATGCCCAACAAAAAATGTTGTCAAAACCGACAGCGGCCGCTGTTGGGCAGGCGGCCTTCTGTATCAAATGCACAACGTCCACGGCGACACCGACAGCGAGTCATGTTCAAAATGCAGACAAGAACTGCTGTAAGTCGTTGTGTCCATTCTTTCCGTACGCATTCTACCCTTGTCTCGCCGTCGCGTCGTCCGAGGCGGCTCTCCCGGCCCCTGATGTCGGGCGTTGCTGGAAGTGCCCCTGGCCCAGGGTGCCCCCAGGACTTCCATGGAAGCCCCCACGTCCTCCAGAGCAACACTCACGAGGCCCAGGGGGTCCCGGGGCTCCAAAATGGAGCGAAGAGCTGGGAGCACATTGGGCCATGGGCATCGTGAACAACACCCGAAGAAAGCCCCTCGATGAGGCCGGATCCGAGAGGGCCGAAGGAACCTCGAGTCGCTTCCAAAATGGTGACTGGGTGGCGGCGGCGGTGGCGGGCTGCTCCGAGCGGCCTCCCGAGCTGGTCCTCGAGGCGGAGGACGGTGACCATGCTCTCAAGCATGGGCACGGTGCGCATGTGGACGCTCCTCCGGAGGAGGCTGGGACTGAGGCCGACCATGCGGGGCATGTGCCCCCCTCGCCCGAAGACGCAGTGCCGAGCTGACACCTTCTCCTGACGCAGCTCCTCCCGAACCCCTTGGGCAAACGCAACCACAGCAGACGGGATGTCAAAGCTATGCAACCTAGGAGGAAAGGGGGGAATGAAGAGGAGGAGGAGGAAGAAGAGGAGGAGGAGGAGGAGGAAGGGGATGAGGAGGAGGAGGAGGAGGAGGAGGGCCGTGGTCGCTGTCGCTGGTCTCGTCGTCGTCGGTCTCGTCGTCTCGTGACCAGGGGGGGGGTGGACGGCGAGGTCCTCCCGCTCGTTATCTTTGCCCTCCGTCCTCCGACCACCCCATACCTCCATCCATCATCCCCCTCCATCCTCCCGCTCCCTGCCCCCGCTCCATCCTCCACCATCCTTCATTCCCCTCTCTCCATCACCCATCCTTCTCGCTCCGTTATCCTTCCTCTGATCGGCCGTGCGAGGTGATGGCACTGCAGCGCGGGGGGGTCACCCTGCCGGGAACAACCACAGACGAATTGCTCAACGCACAGCTCTTTCTTCGTCGTGCTCCTCCTCCTCCTCCTCTTCCTCCTCCTCCTCCTCCTCCTCCTCCTCCCCCTCCTCCATCTCCTCCTCCTCCTACCTTCCTCCATCCTCAAAGCTTCTCCTCCCTGCACCCACAGAGCTGAAAACTCTGAAGATGACCAGGTCATGCAAACACGGAAACACAACTTACAAATGTAGTATATGCCCTGCGCCTGCATTCTCGGCACGACACTGGGCTGCCTGGCATCAGGGGCCTATCCCGAACCGCTCTCCGAAACTTGAGCTGGGCGCCAACCACCCCTGCGGCTTTCTCACTCCGAGGAGGGGCGGATGGGGGACGGGGCAATGATCAGTCAACTTTGAGGGGGGAAAGCTAGGGGGGGCAGATTAGGAGGGGAACAATCGAACTTGAATCAGCGATTCGCCGACCGATCGGCTCTAGGTAGCGAATCCGAGCTTTCCTGGGCAGCTTGGGGCTATCAGGCCCCTGTCGGAGATCCATGGCCCATCCCCCTGCAGGTGGATGTTAGACGAAAAATGAAAGACTGTCAAACGATACCCCGAAATAGTATGAAACAAATGGGCAGATCGTCCCCATACTATTTGTTTCCTGTGCTTGAATATTCCTCCTGCGGAGGGACATGCCCGACTTAAGCCTGCTGATAAGGACCTTACGCTTCGCCTGCTGCACCCCGTGAAGCGGTGGGCCAGGGGGGGCGGGAGCCCGGAGGCTCTCGGCCGTGGAGAGAACTTCCCCGCGAAGTGCCTGGGTGTCTCGTTGAGGCGCAGCTGCCAGGGCTCTTCCGCTCGTGTCGAGCTCCTGGAGGTCGAGATTTTCAGACGTGTTCGAAAGTTCTCATATGGTTTCCAGCCTCGGGATGCTCTGCAGGAGCTGCGCCTCGCCGAGAGCATTCCCTGGGTGCCCGAGGCGCCGAGGTGTCTTGAGCCACGCCCGAGCCAATTGCTGGCGCTGCCAAGTCCACGGCCCGCCCGTGGCCGCCTCGCTGGCCTTGCTGGCGCTTCCGATCGATTGCACCACCCGGCTGAACCACATCGGTTGCGCCCCGCAGCCCGTAGCCGATGGCCGCCACCGTGACGCTGGGCACCGTGTATGGGACGCACAGAGCCATACGAATACTATAGCTCCTCGTTGGAGGCGCGTGTCCGACTTAAGCATTTAGTATTCCCATCTTGTAGTAGATCGTTTCCCGAGCGGTGTGACCAGAAAGCGCCAGCCACGACGTCTATACTATCGTTGGGGTGACGCCGATGAGTAGAGTATCCCCAGCTCCCTTCAATTTCTCTGTGCTGGCTACTGCAAGTCCGCCACCGTGCCTTGGCACGTCGTGGAGTGCCCTCATGCCTCTCACATCCACGCATCGGGCATGGAAGAACATGGCATACAGTACATGCTTGGTCGGGGCCCACAGCCACGAGTTCTGGGCGTTTTGGGGGCAGGTCGCGTGACTTTGCATCAAGAAATTCCAGAGGGGGCAAAGGCGGCCCAAGAACGCCCTCAGAGGCCCCCCCATGACGTCCCAAGGGGGTCTCGAGACGTTCGAAGAGCACTCGGATTCAGACTGGCTCAAAGCGGACCAAGAGGACCCCAAAACGCCACACCAGTGCTCCGAGAGGCCCCCCCAGGCGGGCTCCAAGCGGTACAAATCACAGATTCTCTGGCGGTTTTTGCATGACACAAACGGCGCTCTCGCCTTTTCGAGTATCCGATGTTCCAAGACGGCCCAAGAGGGCGCCGAGATCGTCCCCAAAGGGTCCGAGACAGCCCAAGACGGAAGCAAGACCGCTCAAGATGCCCGCGAGATGACCCAAGAGGACCCCAAGGCGGCCCAAACGGGCCTCAAGAGGGGGAACACGGACTGCCACTTCGAACCCTCCGCCCCAAGATTGCCCACGAGACCGCACGCGGGCCCTAAGAAGCCCGAGAGGGCCCAGAAGGGCCCCGAGATAACCCAGGACTGCCTCCCATAGGCCTCCGAGAGGCCTCCCACGAGACCCCCATCAAGCATCCAACAGGCCTCTGCCCTAAATATATAGCACCCCGCAATTGCGGACAAGAGTGAGGGGGCGGGCGCGGGCGACGCGGGCGTCGTCGAGCCAGCGGACCTCGTGGCCCCCACCTTCCCTGTCGATGGCGCCCTCCTCCTCCTCCTCCTCCTCCTCCTCCTCCTCCTCATCCTCTTCCTCGTCCTCGTCCTCGTCCTCATCGTCATCGTCATCCTCCTCCACCTCGTCCTCCTTCTCCTCTTCTTCCTCGTCCTCCCTCTCCCCCCTCGTCCTTCCATCATCGTCCTCCCATGGTCGTCCTCCCCCTCATCGGCCTCCATCATCGTCCTCCCATTGTCGTCCATCATCATCCTCCTCCTCCCCCTCCTCCTCCCCCTCCTCGTCCTCCTCGTCCTCCTCCTCCTCCTCTTCCTCCCCCTCTTTCTCCACATTCTCCTTACATCCTCTCTTCTTCCGAGTCCTCCTCGTCCCCTTTTTACTCCTCCTGCCTCCCCCTCCTTTCCCAAGATAACGGCAACGCGATCCTCTTTTCCACTTTATGCTCCCCGACTTCTCAGATCAAGGCAACTCGCCAGGGCAAAGTTGCTGGACGGGCTGGTGTGGATGCGCGGGGCTTGAAGAGGTCGTTGCGGGCTCAGACGGCATGCAAAAATCCGCCGCCGCGCTTGTGCGGCATTGGTTTGTCAGTGAACGTGGTTTTGGTCGCGGGTGGGTCGCGGGTTCTCCACCTCCACCTGGAAGGAATGCAGAAGCAGCCCGCCGCAGGCGCCGAAAAAATTGGTTTGTACACTGAACGTGGTTTGGGTCGCGGGTGGGCCGCGGTTTCTCCACCGGGAACGAATGCAAAAGATGCCCACCGCAGGCGCCGAACAAAATGGTGTGTAAACTGAACGTGGTCGCGGGTGGGCCGCGGGCTCTCCACCTGAAGCGAATGCAAAAGATGCCCGCCGCAGGCGCCGAAAAATGTGGTTTGTACCCTGAACGTGGTTTGGGTCGCGGGTTGGTCGCGGGGTGGGTCGCGGGCTCTCCACCTGGAAGGAATGCAAAAAAGCCCGCCGCAGGCGCCGAAAATGGTGGTTTGTACCTTGAACGTGGTTTGGGTCGAAGGTGGGTCGCGGGTGGGTCGCGGGGTGGGTCGCGGGTGGGTCGTGGGGTGGGTCGCGGGTGGGTCGCGGGGTGGGTCGCGGGGTGGGTCGCGGGGTGGGTCGCGGGGTGGGTCGCGGGGTGGGTCGCGGGGTGAGTCGCGGGTGGGTCGCGGGTGGGTCGCGGGTGGGTCGCGGGTGGGTCGCTGGGTGGGTCGCGGGGTGGGTCGCGGGGCGGGTTGCGGGTGGGACGACGACAACAAACAACAACAAACAACAACAACAACAACAACAACAACAACAACAACAACAACAACAACAACAACAACAACAACAACAACAACAACAACAACAACAACAACATACAACAACAACAACAACAAACAACAACACGAATCCGCACCGCGGAATCCCATTACAGCCACGCACCCAGGGACAGTGAATGACCGTTCGGCCCCCTCACTCTGACCAGGAGCTGTGGCCAGATGTCGGCGGCAAGCGAGGGGGGAAGCGAGAAGGAGAAGGCCTTCTCAGAAGGCGGCGGGACTTCTCAGAAGCCCTCGCGCCTTCTGAAAGAAGTTGTTTGCGTCTTGGGGGGAGGCCTAGAAAACTTCTCAGAAGACCTGGGAGAAGGCCCGCCCCTTCTCACTTCCCCCCTCGCTCACAGCCGATTTCAATTTTCGGGTCATAACTCGGGTCTCCGGCGGCCGTTCGGGACGATCCAGGCATCCCCTGAACGCTCTCGGCGAGGCGCAGCCGTTGGAACGCATCCCGAGGGCGGCAAACCGCCAAGAAACTACAAAAACTCACGAAAACCTCGAACTTTGAACTTCCCCCCCTCGCTCGCCGCCGAGGCTGGGCCGAAGGCTACAAGGTCCGCCGCCCCCTGCTGCCTGCAGGCGGGGCTGCTTGCCTGCTGCACGATGGCCGTTGGAGCCCTTCTCGGACGCTTCCCGGAGGGGGCCTCGGCCTCGGCCGATCCAGCAGGCCACGCGGAACCCGGTGCTCCCGGTGGCTCCTCCGTCCAGGATGCGGCAGCCCTTCCAAGACGCCCCAGGAGTGGCCCACGTGGACCTCCAGGAGGCCAAACCTGGTCATGTCTCTGAGGTGCGTCAACTGTTTTCGCGGTCTCGCATCGTTTGAGCTCCGGCAACCGAAGACGGCTCCAGACGCCTCGAAGGTGGCCACAAGACGGCCCCAGCCGAGAGGGAGGCCCCAAGAACACCCCAAGAGGCATCCTATTCTTCCTTCTCCTCCTCCTCCTCCTTCTCCTCCTCCTCCTCTGTTCTCCTCCTCCTTCGCCTCCCCCTCCTCCTCATCTGTTCTTCTC